TGCGCAGGACTCCGGGTCGACGGTGGTGGGAGCTGTCTGCGTAAGAAGCGGGGATGGCACCTATTCCGCCCATTTCTGAGAGCCTTCGAGTTAGGCTCTGCGGGGGCAAGTGTTTAGGGCCTAGGGTTTAGGGTTTAGGGTTTAGGGTTACTTGGAGGTTCATTGGGGTAGTTATAGAAGTATAGGGATGAGTGCCCTAAGGAATCTGAGGAAGGTTATAAGTTATAAGTATTGATTGTTGCCCTACTAAAAACTCACTTGTAACTACCCCAAGCTGCCTCAATGAACCTCCAAGTAGGGTTGAGACCACCTTTCCACCGAAGATTTCGTTGGAGTTTGAGATCGACAGGGCTTCGTGCGGGGCTCTTTCTCTTGGCGATCTAATCCCTGGACGGCTAAAACCTCGTTCCTTCTGTTTCCTCTTTTCCATGCGAAATGTTAGATACCCTGTGCTTTCTTCGCCGTCCTGCCCACGCTGCTCTTCAACCCAGAATCCTAAGCCGATGACCTCCAGAGGCCCTTCCACCCTCTCCCGTGCCCCAGCCCTAAACCCTAAACCCTAAACCCTAACCCTAAACCCTAAACCCTAAACCCTAAACCCTAAACCCTAAACCCTAAACCCTAAACCCTAAACCCTCTACCCTCTACCCTCTAAACCCTAAGCCCCCCCCTTGAAACCTCCTCGAGCCGCGCCCTGGCACCCGAAACCCCAGGTCAAACTCCTGAACTGCGGCCGTTGCCTTAGGGAAGTCCGGTCCGGGGGCTTCTGGGTTTAGGGTTTAGGGTTTAGGGTTTAGGGTTTAGGGTTTAGGGTTTAGGGTTTAGGGTTTAGGGCCTAGGATGTTTCGCGGTTTGAGGGGTTCACGGAACCGGAGTCTCTCAAACCCCCAAACCCTAAACCCATGTGGGGGTTTACGATCTGAGGGGTGCCTGATGGGGCCTTACTATAAGGGAAATCCTACTATTTGGGGTAGTATCTTAAGGGTTCTAAACCCTAAACCCTAAACCCTAAACCCTAAACCCTAAACCCTAAACCCTAAACCCTAAACCCTAAACCCTAAACCCTATTTTCGTAAACCCCCAACTCAACCCTTCAGGGCTTCAGAGCTTGCGGCCTTCGGGGGGGGGGGGGGGGGGGGCAGCTCTAGGCAGTACTTATCAACCTTAAGAGCTGGGGCGTACTAATAAGGTCCCTAACCTCCTTTAGGGTTTAGGGTTTAGGGTTTAGGGTTTAGGGTCTAGGGTCCTAACTAGGGGGCAGCAATTTTCGGAAGGCGCGGTGCCATGTGTCTCTGTGTCTCCGCGTCTTTGTGTCTCTGTGTGTGTGTGTGTGCGAGAATCTACAGGGCATGACAGTTCATACGTGTAGAAATAAGCCCACTAAAGTTGCTGAATCCAAAATGCCTCCCTAAACCCCAAGCCTCGTAAGCCACTGAGGTGACTCTCGGGCTGTGATCGCTCGGGGTCCCAAGGAGGCCTGAGCCCTTCAGGGCTGCGGGGCTGAGAGGTTAGGGAGTCTCGGGCTCATGGATGTTCAGCTCATGGGTTCTTAGAGGGTTGTTTTTTGGGGGGCTTTGTGGGTTTAGGGGGTTCTTAGAGGGTTATTTGGGGGGATTTGTGGGTTCTTAGAGGGTTATTTGGGGGGATTTGTGGGTTTAGAGGGTTCTTAGAGGGTATTTGGGGGGATTTGTGGGTTTTGGTGGTGTGTGGGTGTGGCTGGTCTCTAGGATTGATGACTTTTGGAGCATGTTCCTGGGACTCTACCTCGGACCTCAATGGTTCTGCCCTTGAATTCGGGGGCGCTTTTTTAAAGATCCTCTAAGGGAATAGAGGGCGGCAGATGGGGGTGTACGAAAATCAGGGAGCCCTATTATAGACCCTCTAAATAGTAGGGCTCCCTTGTAATAAGGACCCCCAGTAAGGTATTAGGAGTAGAGTAAGGGGACCTCTGTCCCACCTCTGCCTTGCGAGGAGGAGGATTCCTGTGCCAAAGTGCAGATCCGCCGGCCAGGGGCCTCACCGATCTGTTGTGTGTGTTTGGGGTTTAGGGTTTAGGGTTTAGGGTTTGGGGTTTAGGGTTTAGGGTTTGGGGTTTGGGGTTAGGATGTAGCGGGCTCCGGGTTCACTGAGTAAAGGAGTACTCGCAGATCTGCAGTGAAGGCACGTGCCGTATGAAGGTTGCAGAGGACACGGGGCGAACCCAAAGGCCTTAAACCCTAAACCCTAAACCCTAATAAACCCTAAGCCTAAACCCTAAACCCTAAGCCCTAAACCCTAAACCCTAAATCCTAAACCCTAAACCCTGAACTCTAAACCCTAAACCCGAAACCCGAAACCCTAAACCCTAAACCCTAAACTCCTAAACCCTAAGCCCGACACCCTCAAGCCTAAACCCTAAACCCCGCATGCGTCGAGCCCATGGGTTCGAAGCCCCCCAAGACCTTGGGGGGTCTGTATGTTGGGGCTGGTCTAAAGTAGGCGACAAGTGTGCCTCCTGTGGGTCTCAAAGCGTATACGGGGTCTTCCTTAAAGTAGAGAGTACTCAAACGAGATGTTATCGAACACCAAACACACAAGTTAAGAATCATGGCCCTCCTTGGGATACACTAAGTGGTGGCCGTATATCATCCCCATTGCCGTCTCCCAAAACCGCCTGAATACTCTCGCGAGCACTCTATAGTCAGTGAAAGAATCGCCGTCAAAAGCCCGAAGCCCTACTGAACCCCAAAACAAAAACCCTAAACCTAGCCCTAAGCCCTGAACCCTCAAGGCCATGATAAATAGAACTTGTATGTGATTCACTCAGCCAAGAGGCTTCAAGAGGCCTTCAAGGCCCCAAAAGCCTTCCGAAGCCCCGGTAAGGCTCCAACAAAGGCCCCGCAACCACAAGAGCTCGAAAAGGTCCGAGCAAAAACAAATGCAAAAAACCCAAAACCGCCCCCCCCCCCCCCCCCCCCCCCCCCCCCCTCCCCGCCCCAAACCACGGTTCAGGTTTCAGGGCTCAGGGTTTAGGGTTTAGGGTTTAGGGTAGACAAACCCTATACAGTTCCCATAAATCCTACATCCTTGCGTCCACCCCCAGCATTCTTTCAGTGCCGAGGCCTCAACACCTTGAGGCGCTTGGTGCCCAGGGCCTCGGCGCTGGCCTTGGAGGGTAGGGCTTAGGGTTTCGGATCTCGGGATTAGGGTTCGGGGTTTGGGATTTAGGGTTTAGGGTTTAGGGTTTGGGGTTTGGGGTTTAGGGTTTGGGGTTTAGGGTTTAGGGTTTAGGGTTTAGGGCAACTCAAAGCAACTCAAAACTCTCTTGGAGCATGCCTCGGGGCCCTATTGTGCCCCGTCGCGCTGCGAAACAATCATGTCTTGGGATGTTGCCCTTGCACTAACAGTCTCTAATTTAGGGTTTAGGGTTTAGGGTTTAGGGTTTAGGGTTTAGGGTTTAGGGGTTTATAGTACCCCCTATTGTAATCCCTATTCCGGAGCTGTTAGTCTAAGGGGGGACATCTCAAATCATCTCTGTCAACTTTTGTGGGTTAGGCCCCGGCTCAAAGTTGATGGGGAAAAGGGTTTGTGGTTTAGGGGTTTGCAGGGCCGTAAACCCAAAAACCCTACATGCAGGTTCACGGGTGGATATCGGCTGCGGTCATAAGTAGGGCAACTGTAGCTAGAACTGCTTATAACCATATCTGGGGCCAGTCCAAACCCTACTTATTGCTGGAGGTTTACGAAACAGTAGGATCCTCGTACCCCCCCCCCCCCCCCCTCCCCACCCCCCCCTCCCCACACCCCCTCCACCCCCCCCCCTCCCCACCCCACCCCCCCCCCCCCACCCCCCTCCCCACCCCCCCTCCCCACCTCCCCCCCCCCCTTTGCCCCTGGCCTCCTAAACCCAGAGCCCAGGCAATGCCGTCAAATCGGAGCTCGAAGAGGTGCGCTTGGGGGGCCACCCTTTTGGGGTTTAGGGTTTAGGGTTTAGGGTAAGTGGGGTTAGATGTGCCTTGATGATGCTAACCCCTTCGCAAGTATCTGTGGTTCAGGTTGTTGAGGGACACCCCCGAGCTTCGAGGCTTGTCAGAGGATTCTCATCAGAATCAAACCCAAAACCTTGGCATCATCAGGGCACATCTAACCCCACTTGCCCTAAACCCAAAACCCAAAACCCAAAACCCAAAACCCTAAACCCTAAACCCTAGACCCTAGACCCTAAACCCTAAACCCTAAACCCTAAACCCTAAACCCTAAACCCTAAACCCTAAACCCTAAACCCTAAACCCTAAACCCTAAACCCTAAACCCTAAACCCTAAACCCTAAACCCTAAACCCTAAACCCTAAACCCTAAACCCTAAACCCTAAACCCTAAACCCTAAACCCTAAACCCTAAACCCTAAACCCTACTCGACAGCTCTTGTTGGGATTCCTTTGCTCCGAAACCCCTACGCCAGGAAACCTAAGCCTCAGACTCTGAACCCTGAATCTGCTTGCTGTCGGGGTGTTAGCCTCTTTCGGGCATTGGGTTTAGTTTAGGGTTCCTCAACTTCTCACCCTAACCCCCCGCCCCACCCCCCCCCCCCACCACCCCCCCCCCCCCCACCATCCCCCCCCTCCCCCCCACCCACCCCCCCCCCCAACCCCCCCCCACCCCCCACCCCCCCAACCCCCCACCCCCACCCCCCCCCCCCCCCCCACCCCCCCCCCCGCCCCCAGCACCGACCTAAAATAAAGCCCAAATGACCCCGAGTTATGCCTTATTTGGACCTCATGTTAGGTGCCATTTGGGAGTTGTCGAAGATAGTTTGGGTGGCGGCCTGTGTTTCGTGCCGCCCACCCGGAGTGATGATACCTCCCCAAACCCTAAACCCTAAACCCTAAGCCCGAAACCCTAAACCCTAAACCCTAAACCCTTTAAAGCTGGAATCGTACGGAGTTACGGAAGAGTACGGAGGCTCCCGGGGTCAAAGCAGGCGCCTGGTTTGATCGCCCCAGCGCCACCTGGAGCCCCTGTGCCGAACCCTCAGAAGATATCCTTTTTAGGGTTTAGGGTTTAGGGTTTAGGGTTTAGGGTTTAGGGTTTAGGGTTTAGGGTTTAGGGTTTAAGAGCTCCTGGTCGAGCAGTTTCTCGTTTAGGTTCGTGGTTCGAGCATCGTTCAATACCCACCCACCCGGAGTTCGCACAACATTAAGAAAAAGCAAAGTTTCTGCTTAGTAGGATGGCTCAGCAACAAACTAATCGGGTTCGCAAGGGTTGAGGGTCTCAAGGGTTTAGGGTCTCAAGGGTTTAGGGACTCAAGGGTTTAGGGTCTCAAGGGTTTAGGATCTCAAGAGTTTAGGGTCTCAAGGGTTTAGGGTCTCAAGGGCTTAGGGTCTGGGTTTGTTTTGGGTCTCAATGGTTTTGGGTCTCAAGGGCTTGGGGCTCAAGGCTGGGGGCCTATGCCCACGAATTTCTGGGCCTGTACCCATAGGCTCGGTGGCCCAAAAATTCGTGGGCATAGGCCCGCCGGGCCTATGCGCACGAATTTTTGGGCCTTGCCCACGAAAAACGGGCCTATGCCCAGGAACAAAACGGGCCTTGTCCACGAATACCACTAAGGTTTGTAATTATATGGTAGGAGGGGTTTAGGGTTTCAGGGTTTCAGGGTTTGGTTTTTTGGGGTTTAGGGTTTCAGGGTTTAGGGTTTCAGGGTTTCGGGGTTTCGGGGTTGCGGGGTTGGGCGGTTTAGGGGTTTAGGGGTTTCGGGGTTTCAGGATTTCGGGGTTCAGGGTTTAGGGTTCAGGCTTCAGGGTTTAGGGTTTAGGGTTTTGGGTGGAGGGTGGGGGGCAAAGAGGGTACGAGCCAGGGTGGTATTTAGATATTTTGAGATGGAGGGTGCAACTCCGAATTAGTGGATTAGGGTGAATATAGGGGCCTGAATAATTAGTATAGGGTTTGGGGGGTTATTGTGGTACAATTACAAAGGCACAATACAGGACTACTATTAGTAATTCTTCTGACCCTTATATCAGGGCCTTTCGGGGCTTCATGCCATCATTCTGCGTCCTAGGGCCTTAGTGACTTGTGGACTAGGGGTGGGTCCTCGTGCTTCGATACTGCTTCCTGGCTGTTTCCGAAATAAGGCTGCATCGAGTCAGGCGATCACAGTCGCAACTCTCGACCCTAACAGCGCAGGAGATTCGCAGCACGGTGACACCCTCCAGTGTGGCTACCTGTAGATCCACCTTACCAGCTGAATGAGCACACTTTTACACTTTTTGGGATACTATCATCCCCCATAGAACTGAGAGTGTGCACTTTTTTTGGGGGGCCTTCTCAACTCAGCAACCAAGGCACCCTCAAGTTGCCAGGTAACCACGGAGTCTCCGCACTCCCCGGTGTACTTTGGAGGGCTCAAAGCTGGTCAGCGAGATCACCTTCACAAAGGTCTCAGACGTAATCTAGGGGTCGGAAAAAGTACTGCGAATATTCGCTTATGGTCCTTTTGTAGCTATATGATAGTAACCCCCCAAACCCTATTCTAATTTTTCCGGCCCCTATATGATGCTGCTAGCAATCAGGGAGTTGTCACGCTACTACGAAGACCCAAGTAGTGTCAGAAGCTTCCCTGACATCCGCGCCCCCCTTTGCTGCCGCGCCATCATGCGCGATTCCTGGGGGTATGACGAGGCGGGCTTCTTGGGTCAGACACTCGCGTGCATGCTTCAATTAGGTTCTTTATTACGTTTATAAATGAACGAAATACAGACGGACACAGAATTAGCTTTGGAAATCTTAGCTTGTGATCGCTAGTGACTTTATCATTGGGCTATAATACCCCTTCATTATAATTATACCCATTCCGCAGAATTATTTACTCCTTACCAATTACTTGGAATAATAATATTTTCCCGCATGAATAATGTGAACGAAACACACACATCGGCTAATCATGAATAACCCTTGATGAAGAGTAAAGAGACTGCAATGAAGGCATCAAATAGTACAGTAATAGTACGAGTGAATACGCTTGATTTTACTATTACTGCATGAGTGCATGAACGAAACGAGAGATTTCTACTGGAACTCCTTACCAAGAGTTCTGGGTACAAGGTGTGTAGCTAGCGGTCCCTCAGTTCCTCAAGTGGTGTCTTTCACGCGGTAGCAAGTACCCATGGGTCTGAAACCCTCACCCTAAACCCTAAACCCTAAACCCTAAACCCTAAACCCTAAACCCTAAACCCTAAACCCTAAACCCTAAACCCTAAACCCTAAACCCTAAACCCTAAACCCTAAACCCTAAACCCTAAACCCTAAACCCTGAACCCTAGACCCTAGACCCTAAACCCTAAACCCTAAACCCTAACCCCTAAACCCTAAACCCTAAACCCTAAACCCCTTGCGGGCTTTCGACTGCGAGTGCTTTGGGAGTGGGAGGCTCCTGGCTTCACGGTTCGCTGCTGAGCCCCAAGTCCTGAACCCGAAGCCCCAATCCCAAACACGCAGCTTAAACACGGAAGCAGCCAAAACGTAAACTATAAGATCTAAGCCCCAAATCCTAAGCACTAAGCCCTAGATCCGTAATCCCTAAGCCCTCACCGGAAATAGGCCCCGCAAAGCCCAAAGCGCGACGACTGGTGCCTTCTGTGCCTCCCGAAGTCAGCAGCCCTAATCCTTGGACCCATAATATATATATATATATATACATAGTATATATGTATATACAATATATATATATACATATATATGTATATATATACATATATATATATATATATTCAGTATGCATACTATAGACAATTATCAGTATTGTTTTTTGTATTGTAGTTCTTATGGTTATTCGCCCTGAACCCTGCGGCGGCCAGGGGGAAGTGCCCTCCAGCAAAGACTGGCGCCAAGACCCCAGGGTGGTGAAGAAGCAGGTGCCACCGCAGTGGCCTGTGGGCTGCACTTGGACTGCTGACAGGGTTTGGGGTTTAGGAGGTTTAGGGTTTAGGGTTCAGGGTTTAGGGCTCAGGGCTTAGGGCTTAGTGATGACGATTACGATCTGTGCCTTCCCTATTTGCGGCATCACAACTCGAAGCGATGTGGGTTTCAGCTGAGGTTCAAGACGAGCAATGGAAGCCGGACCCCCCAGTTGGTGCGGCGCAGTCTCATGCTGCAGTGCTGTGTTTACAGTAGTTTTAGGGTTTTTGTACAGGGTTTATGTAGGTGTTTATGTAGGGTTTTTTGGGTTTACGCAAGGTTTGCAGGATTTTCATGGGGTTGATATATTCGAGTTGTGGAGTTTCGTCACCTTCGGTTCGGGTATCCATCTGGCCTGGATGACCCCCTAAACCCTAGACCCTAAACCCTCTACCCTAAACCCTATACCCTAAACCCTAAACCCTAGATCCTAAACCCTAGACCCATAGACAGGCTAAACTCTGGGTACAAATGCCTGCCAATCTGCGCTGCTGGGATGTGAGGTGCCCGTGCAAGCGTGCTTACTCCGCACATGAAGAGTGTCGCTGGGGATGTCCCCCCTTGTACTGACAGTCCTTAATAGGGATTATAATAGGGGTTATAATCGGGAATATAATAGGGGTTATAATAGAGATTATAGTAGGGGTTATAATAGGGGTTATAATCCCTATCAAGGACTGTTAGGTATAAGGGGGGACATCTCAAGGTGTCGCCTAAACATTTTTTCGCGCTTGCTGGAAGGAAACCCTAAAGCCAAACTCAAGAGTTTCGGGCGATATTGTATTGTTCTACACGCCCGTTACGAATATTAAAGTGTAATAAACGTATGAACATCAGCGAAGGAAATAAGTATGCCAATCGGCCCACGTTGAATAGAATATTATGAGCGTATAGAAGCCCACTTGAACAATAGAAATGTACTGGGTGCGTTAGTATGATTATCTTGTGAGCACTTCTCTTATTAATTGACTTTGTGGGTGTTCATGTGTTCTGCACTTCACTAGCTCATTCCTTCACTTCATTCGCACTATTCACACTGTTTCAAACCAATCACTCACCTGAGCACCTTAGTTAACAGCATAATCTACTCGCCTCAAGGGTCCTTAATAGGTCCTTGACGTAGATCAAACGAACTGGGCAGGTGGGGGCCTAAACCCTAAAGCTTCCACCCTCAACCCGAATCAACTTACAGACCCTCAACTCAGCCCGCGAGGCCCGCACCCGCCAACGGTTTAGGGTTTAGGGTTTAGGGTTTCGGGTTTCGGGTTTAGGGTTTAGGGTTTAGGGTTAACTCTGGGACTACAAGCCCCGTACAACCCCCACCCTTCGCCTGGCCGAGGCGATCCATTTCCCGACTACTCCCATGGCCCCATCTACAAGCCCAAGGACGTCGAAGGTTGAAGGTTCAGGTCCCCACCCTATACCCTAAACCCTAAACCCCAAACCCCAAACCTCAAATCCTAAACCAAGAAGCCTGAACCGAGTAGGGCTTTTTGCATTCAACTCAGGAAGGGTTTAGGGTTTAGGGTTTAGGGTTTAGGGTTTAGGGTTTAGGGTTTAGGGTTTAGGGTTTAGGGTTTAGGGTTAAGGGTTAAGGGTTAAGGGTTTAGGGAGTTCAGTGTTTTAGGACTTTAGGGCTGCGTGGCTATAAAGTTAGAAAGCCAGTCGAGCTTTAGAGTTTGTTTCTTGTTTTTAGAGGAGTGCCGGTCTTTTCCTCTATGGGCCTGCTCTTAAGGTTGATTCGGTTTAGCTTTTAGGGTTCAGGGTTTAGGGTTTAGGTTTAGCACTTGAGTTCTTCCTCTCAGGGCTTTGCTGCCTAAAGGCATGGTGTTGTGACGGCTGGATGTTTCGAGCCCTCGGTGTGTCAAGACAGCTGACAGGACCGCAACAGGAGGCGGGAGGAGCTTGATGCCAAATTTGGCGAGGCTCGCGCCCCAGCATCAGTTTTGGGGCAGGTTGCAGGGCTATCAAAGTCGGGGTGGTTCAAAACACCCTACACCCCGAACCCTGAACCCTAAACCCTAAACCCTAAACCCTAAACCCTAAACCCTAAACCCTAAACCCTCACA